GGCGGCTGCGGAGGCAGGGGCGGCTTGCTGGACACTGGCGCCCTCCCGTTTGCGCTGCGAAAAGCAATATAGAATTAATCGCTTTCGTGGTTTTTTCTTTTCTCGAGGTCGGTTATATCGCGTTTTCCTCCTTTCGATTTTTCATATATAGCGGAAAAGGCGGCTGAAACGAAAGCTTCGTTCGGAATACAGCGAACTCTCTCTCTCTCTTAACCGGCTCCTATTGTCTCGGTTAGATTAGTCCGATTACTCGAATTGAAACGACTAAGATTCGAATGATTCGAGCAACGAGAACAAGAGTAGATACACGAAAGTGTATCCGAAGTCAAGTAAGTATGTAACAGGATCACGCTGTTTTATAGTTCGTACTTTCATACGCTATCGTATAGCATTCCTTAAAATCACAGTTTGATTGAATCATTTAGTGTTCGCATGACGTAGCGTTACGGCCAATATATTAATAAATACGGTTTTCGATGCGTGAAATCACTGAAAAGAGAAACTTCTCTTCCAGAAAAGAATGTGAAAACGGTTAGTCTTGAATTTTATAGTTGCTTAGCTTGGCAACTTCGTAGACTTAATCCTATGATTCCTATTTTTACAACACCGAGTAGTTTATTTTCTCTAAATTTGTCATTAAAATGTATTAACAATTTTATGAATTGACAATATATAACTTATTGTATGAAATTATTGTAGATAAAATACTTTCAGTTACATCGTACGACATGTTTCTAGATAGTAATTGAACAAGATATACGGATTTAATCAAACTTGTCCGAACTCATCGAAAATATTTACTTTCCAGGGGAAGCTTAATATCAAAGACTTTTCGAAAGAAAGGAAAATATTTAAACGTACACAAATCCAACGTTCAACATTCGGTATAGTTTCAATCCACTTGAATGAATCGCAGGATTTTCTCAAAAATAATACAGCCTTTCCTCCGCAGCTAGGCGTGTTGCGGAATCGTCGATTTCCAGAGTCCGGAAAAGTCGATCGCGGACGCGTCAATGTATGCCGATTTCGTCGTAACTTCACAAAGAGAAACGTGCAGAAATGTCGGTGAAGCGAGTCGAAACGCCGGTAGCATCGTCCGTCGACGCTTTAGAAAATTGAACGCGGATAATTGACCCGAAAGCGGGTTTCGTTGCGTCGAGCTGATATCACCGCGCGTATAACACTTTCCCGCCGCTTATACTCTGCGCTTGGCTTTGAACTTCACCGAGCTATGCACACACGCGTTCCTTTGGTTCTCTGGAAGAGTGCGCGGCGAATTCGTAGCAGCTTTCACGCTATTCGATCATCAATCACGCGGCTCCCGTTACGCGGCGAAGAAAACGCGGAAGCGAGCGCTACGCAGCACGGCCGCGGCGCCGCTGCTCGCTTCCAAGCCGCATGCTCGTTTCGCTCGACCATTCCACGATCATGGACCACTCTTCTAACGTTTCTACAGAAGTACGCACATTGTGTGCCGACTCAAGCCTTGTTTTATTGGTTTCTCGGTAAAGCTATTTGATTGAAATCCTTGGGAGATTATAGTCGATTTTTGGGGGAAGATAATTAGCTTGTTCTAAACTCGGATGCTGTGAAGCAAGAGAAATATCTGATCTAAATTAATTGTTTGAGACGTTGTGTAAATAAAAGGTGTAGCGAGGAGATCAGTGAAACTTTAGTAGTTAACGAGATACGTAATAATTATTTTTAAACTCGTAGTGAGTATTCAAATATTTCGGTATTACATTCTAAACTTTTTTCCTTATACAGGGTGGTTGGTAACTGGTGGTACAAGCAGAAAGAGGGTGATTCTACGCGAAAAAAGAAGTCGAAAATATGGAATAAAAATTTTTTTTTTTAATTTTTTACATTTCTCCATCGAGACAACGATCTACAGTGAGATCCGTTATAACGAGACGTGATAAAGTGCACGCGTACCGAGCGAAAATTCAAAGTCGATTTTCTCGGAAACAAAGCCTCAAACGAAAAATTTTTATTCTATATTTTCGACTTCTTTTTTCGCGTAGAATCACCCCCTTTCCGGTTTGGTAACACCTGTTACCTAACACTGGTAACACCAGTTACCAACCACCCTGTATATTTCTTGATATATGTTACTTAATTCTTCCTATACCATCATATATTAATAAATATATACATATTCATAATATTCAAACGATACATTTTTTTATGCTTTACTTCATTTCTAGTGTAAAAGTTAAAGAAGGGTTCATTCTTGCTAACATGTACAATCCTTTATTGGAAGCATGACCATTGTTTTGATCATATTATGAGTTAGTTACTTTCCTTAGAAAAAATTGCCGGTCACATTTTTACAGACGAAGATTCAAACGTTTAAGTGCGCACTTATGCATTCGAAAGAACGTCTGCGATTGGCCGACACGACGTAGAATGGAGTGGGTACTTAAAGTCAAACAGATCCAAATCGAACGATCGCCTCAATTGCTTTCAATCGTTCCTCTACACCTTGTTCTTTTTCTGTCTGCCCAGGAAAAATCAAATCGTCTTCTCGGTGCACGCATGGACAATGAGCACGCAATGCGTCGACCTTAACGCTGTATTCTTGTTCTTTCTTTCAAACGAATAAGGATAGGTACAGATTAATTTTACCTCTGACTGTAGTGGAATATTTACATGTATTAAACGAAATAAGAATTCAGAATATCTTCAGAAATACGTTACTTTTTTAAAACTCCCGAATATAAATATAGTACTTATACTTAATCTTTAAACTAAATCTCAGAAAGCTCGCGACCTTATCTTAGTTCTATTTCTACGAAGCAAAGAAATACCAATTCAGTCTGCGATTTATCTTACTCTCTATCGTTTTCCACTCTGATTAAAATGGCATAGGCACGATAAAATAGTCTTCGATGAATGGAGCTTTTATACTCTGTGTTCAAACCAAAAGCAAAGAGTTGGGAAATAGATACTAACAAGTATCACGCTTAAATTTTAAAACAACTTATTTCATTCATTTTTATGAAACACTGAGAAACATTTCAGGCGAAGCAAATGTACACACCCCCTGTTAGATAAAATGAATCTACTTTATCACTTTACAAGCATGTGTCATTCAAAGCTGATAATCCTTAAATATAAATAATAGCGTCATCCTCCCTAAACTTTGACCTATCACTTATATTCCTATTGTTTTAATTCTTAGAACTTTAGATCAAAACTAATTACAACCCAATGTAATATTCTGTCTTAAAATTCATCGATCCGGCTTTAAGGAGGAAAATGAGAAATGAGAAAGAAAATAAGAGTAGACAGTAAGAACTTAGTTCGTGCGAGCACGTTGATGAATCAAAAGTGCGGACATAGGCTCGGAACGAAGTAAAAGAAACAACAGTCGATCGTACCAGATGGAAAAACATCGAATTGCAATGCGAACGGGTACACAACTCGGTATCCCTGTGATGCAGTTTCATTCTTGCGGCACGTCGCGTTATGAGATCATATTTATAATCGTGAACGAGGCAATGATGGAGAATCGTCGAATGCCTTCTCTAAAATTAGGAGATGGTCGAGAAATATTTTCGAAATCCTCGCGCCGTACCAGTTTCGAATTCTGAAAATATCGCGCTCGAGAACCGACGAGAAAACATCGTAAAATGCGTATTTTCGCCTAACGATATGGAAGTAGATTGTGCACTCGCCGTTTCCATCGAGTCTATAACAATTTAAAGAAAGATCGAGACTAAGACAGAAAACGCGAAATGTTTGTCCGACCATTTGATATAAATTGATTTTAGCTGTGACCGATTGCAGAAAATATGTCTTAGATTGCCGTTTGACGTTTCATAGCGAATATGGTAGAGTAGAAGTGAAAAAGTTTGCGCGTATGAAAATATATATTCTACGCGTGACGTTGTTCAAAGAGATGGTTTCCTTCACCCTGCTATATACATATGTATGTATTTCTGCTCCGTACGATGTCACGAACTCGAATCATGCGCTCACCAACGAGCCTATGGTTAAATATATACCCGTATGCATGTAGGTGTACCGGCCTCACGAGTCTTATTAATCTTATTTCATTCCAGCGGCAGTCCGGAAGTCGTTTGAGGTGGTGCGATGCCTAATCGTTTGCTTGCGGAATTCTCGTCAACCTTTTCTGCTTCTGTTCTTCATTCGTTACGTAAAAGAGCATTGATAATATTTCGATTGCTTTTATTTCCTTTTCTTTTTAGTCGTTTGTTGTCAATATTCTATACCGTTCTATCTATTAGGTTGTAATTTTCCTCAATGCATGTTTTACATTTGCGAGAGTCTCAGAAAGATATAAGAAAAAATGTCAACTTTCTTTAAACTTCGAACCCAAAACCTTCTTTTAATCATTTCTGTTAAAATTTCATTTAACTAATTATATCAAACTCAAAATAGTTGGAATGGAATATATTGCTGAGTTCAATTCATCGTAAGATTACGGAAGATAACGATTACTTAAAGTTGTACAAACTGTAAGGTTTATAAGAAAATCACTCTCAATTATCCTATGCACTTCGTTGAATGAACTGTACTTTCTTGAAAGCATTATTGGATAATTTCCAACTTAAAAGAACCCATTATTAAAACGCAAATAGAATGACAAACTAATGTTTTGTTATTTAATTATTTATTTATGTACACTATATATTACTACTAGATACGTAATAAAGGTGATGTGAAACAGAATTTCTCTGTTGTAACTATTCGCTAGAGATATATATATATGTACGTATGCATACATATGTATATGTATATATGTATGCGTATATCGCGCCGTTCAGAATGTGAGAATTCGATTCATTCGATTCACAAGGTATCTCGAACCACGGGTAATGCAATTTTGATATTACACAACATTACACTGGTGGTATCGAGTTTACTTAATCGCTACAGAAAGAGACAGCGACACGTCACGATTACTCAAGAGCTCGATAAAGCGTAGCTTTGAAGTCACACCTTGAAATATACCATAGCTACGTTCGCAGAAACGCAACAGATCTCTCGAAAGAAGATTCAGCTATAGCTGAAACGTGGCCTATTTATCCAAATTTCGTCCACGTCGTTCCTAAGGCGTTTCCAGAATATGAGAAACCCGCTAAAAACAAAGATGAATCTGACTCGATTCTTAAATGTCCATTTGCAATAATTCATCGGGAACAACGCGTGCGATGTCACGCAAGCATATAGCTGCCGCTTGTTTGGTGCAGACCTTTGCCAAATGATTTGAGAATCATAGAATTTAGATGTTTACAAACGTTTACAGAAAGAATGAGTTTGAGCAAAAAAATGTTTAATATGGAAATGTACAGAATGTTCAAGTGATTATATAGAACGTTAGAAAAGAAAAATCCAAGTCTATAAAATCATATGTAGTATTTAACGAACGCAGTAAATGTCTCTATTCAACATGCTTCTGAAAGCAATTCTGAAACAGCTGCATGCTGTATTAATCTCTGTACGTATTATATTTTCCAATTAATGTGAAACGAAATTTAAATTTTTACATCGAATCTCTGCTGAGAGATAGATTCACTGAACTGATCTCCTGACCTGAATGTTCTTTGGGATTATTTTTGTGGGAATACTTGATGATTTTAACGTACTCGTCATTGCTAAACAACGTAGTAAATTTATAAAGACGACATCACATAGAAAATGTATGTCGCGTAATACGTGAAGAGTACCTGAAAATATACGTAATGTCGATTCATTATCCATTATTCATTAATCTCGCTTTTATATATATTGAGACAAAACTTTTTTTTAAGCAAAACAAGCTATTATTAGAAAATATACTCAGCGCATATTTATTATAAATCTCACGTACATGCATAAAGTTAATGAATCATTAACGTATACATTGAAGTATAAAATTTTACATTTTCATTATCACATATACATTCGAAGAAAAAGAACGCACTAGTGAAAGAGTGACCTAACGGAATCAAAGTGGAGCTGGAAGCGCACAAAAGTGCTGATTCGATGAAATTTCATGCGATAAAACGAATGTTCGTAAAAACTAAACAAGAGGGATCGGTTACGCCTGCTGTTCCGAGAAGCTGGCCTCAATATGTGGATCGAGTAATGGAGGAGTTAAGGCAAAAACCAGCCAGATAGAGAATACCATGCGATCATTCGAGGGATTTTTTCCCTAAAATTTCTTTAGCTGAAGCAAACGATACTGAATGAAGGGAACAGGCCGCTTGTGCGATCATCGTACTACGAAGGAAATGAATCGTTAACGAACAAGGGTCGTGACGGAGATTAAGATTAATTGCCGGAGATATCAAATCGAACCCCGTGATGCTCCGCAAAGTATGTGTAATACACAAATAGGATGCGTAATTACAGTGCCATTAGAACCAGCGTGAATTTGTTCGAAGTTTAATTACAAATCTGTATTGATTGCTCTTAATCTTTAACTAACAGACGTTGATAGAAACTTTGTAATTTCTATGATAACGATATTTTGTCCTCGTTTCTCCAAAAATCACTCGTAAATTTGTAAAATATTCAGTTTGTTTTGCATTCTATACAATTCTTAATGTCAACTATCCTCGTCCTAGAAAGTAAAATACTCGTTGTGACTTTATGACAACCTTATGTTCTACAATCGACTTAATATTCGCACGAATATTATGTCTTTATTCTACCGTCAGACGACAACAGACTGAATAAACACTGCCTGCTTTCAAACACAAATACGTTGTAACTTGATCGAGTCCAAACGATTCACAGTTTATCTCTTATTCTATCGGTAAGCCTACGTATCTAAAATTTTTAATAATTGGCTTTGCAATTATCTCTTCTTAAATAACTTATGAGAAAGAATATCTGATTTTTGTGATTTGTTTTATTCGTACTCTTGACGATTGTGTATGAAACGCTCTGCTGAATTCCCCAACTCCTGGATTCTCTTAACACCCCGTATTCGGGTTTTATGAATTATCAAGACGCTCCGATCCTCTGTCGCTGATTCTTCATCGAGGTTCCAGGAGGGAAATGCTTCGTTAGAAGAAGAGGGATACGATAAAGGTTAAACGACAGCGTTTGCTGTTACAGAATGCAATTAGATCGAATTACGTTGAAACGACACGGAATGGGGAACGGGGCGAGAGTGAAATCCGATTAAGAGAAGCGAACTGGTTCATCCATGTGCTCGCGCGCATAGGGGAAAGAAACGAATCGAAGAGGCCGATGGTCGGAATGTACGCGCGAACGAGAGTGAAATTTATCGAACGAACGAGAAGCCTGATGGAAAAAGAAATTAGAGACGACGATGCATGGACGAGTCGACAGTTGATAAACGGTGAATAAATAGCAGATAGATTTAGCACCCCGTTGCGGGACGTCACCAAAAGCGAGGATCAACCGTCAGTGAAATTTAATTCGAATGGAGAAGATCTAGAAGAGTGGGTGGAGCGTTACCCTGGCAGCTGTTCGCCGGCTCTGACTACCATTACGAAAACTTGATTAGTATCGCTGACCTCTTTTCCACCACTTGCTTATTAGAGAGACGTATCACGGAAATAAATTCCGTCCACTGTTTATGGGTATCTTAACACATCGTTGATAATCGAATAAAAACACTCAATAAATTTCAATAACTTTGTCGCTATATAAGTAATTTAAAATAACCGTTAGCAATGCTATTCTACTAATATCTAAAAATATATTTCTTTGCTATTGTGAGAATCAGTAGTAGTAATCCAATCAGTTTTGCACAATACCGTACATCGATCAGAGGCAACAACACAGCAGGTAGAAACAGAAGGCGTGTATTGATACGTATCAAATTCCTTTCATAATCCGCTAATTATGTAAGACACATTACGTTATAAACTTGCGAGCAACGTCTGCGCGATTTTGCAGCCGAGATTCGGTTACAGACCACGAATACGGTTCGCGGACGCAAAGTTTATTGTTGTTCGCGTGCGAATACCTCCGCAACATTCGTCCGTTGTCTTCTCGTACAATGTACCGGGAACATTAAATAAACGATGGTATTTAGAATCTGAAATGGTGCCGACGTATTTTCCACCGGCCGAGAGATAAATGTTTACATATAGAAGCCATAGAAGGTGGCACGAACCGTGATTCATGTTACCTCTATATTCCATATACCCGCGCGAAACCGTGTAAACAATCGTTGAGGTCAAAGTCAACGCGATCGACGCGCAAAGCGATGCCCGGTGCAAATAGAAGAAAAACGGGAGCGACGAATATATTCACGGTCGATGATGAAATACGGCACGATTTTTGGAAAAGGTAGATCAAACACTCACCTTATAACGGAGGGACTTCGTTGAACGTCGGCGACAATTCTGTCATTGCTGCTGGTGTCTACTCTGCTCTCCGCAGCTGTGTTCTGGTCTTGTTTCTGCCTTTCCTCTTCGGTAGGATGCAACGGTATGATAATATAGTCCGGCTCCTTTTTAACCTTCTCCTCGGTCACCTTCGCGCGATTCACTTGGCCGATCGTATCACTTTTCTTCTGCACCTCGGATCGCGGCACTTTCGATCTACCACTGAACCGAAGCCTCGAGAATCGTTGGAGAAATCCACCGAGTCCACCTTTTTTCCGCTCTTCCTTTACCGTGGTCGCGGACGACGCGTCGACGACCATGTTCCGCTGGAACCTCGCCGCCGATGGCTCTGTTTTGACGATGGGTGCCGCGACGAACGGACGCGGTGTCGTTGTGGTCGTCGTGGCCGACATAGTCGCGTGGCCGTCGTGCCTATCGTCTACGCTAACCGGCGCAGTTGTTGCCGCCGCGTTCTCCTCGTGACGTTTGTCGCGAACACCGCGATGATTCGTATCAACTGCCACGGCCACCGCTGGATTCCCACTCCGTTCACCGAGTTCCAGGCCGTCGCTGTTGCTGCTACCGTTGGGTGGGGGGCAATGAACACCGTGGACAGTGTGTCCCCTCGCTGCTTCCGTTGCCTCCTTCTCCTCCTTCTTTTGCTCTCTCTCGTTCTTCTCCACTTTGTACTGCAACTTCTCCTCTTCCACCTCTTTCTCCTTCGTAGCCTTCTTCGCAGGAGCATCCTTTTCCGCGGCCTGCTTTTCCACTACGACTCTCCACAACAGTTCTCCATTGTTTCTACCGTTGCACGACGAAGTCGATGATAATCGACTCGTCGAAGAACTTTCGTTTTTGCCGCCACTTTCGTCGATTTCGAGTTCGACCGCACGATCCTCTTCCACTGGCCGATAATCCACATAACGGCCCTCCTCCTGTTGCTGCAACCGCACGATTTTTTCCGGATAGAAATCACCGATGAACAACCTTTTCGAACAGCTCGTCTCGTTCGCTGCATCTTGATCCGTGTCCTTTGAAATCGCGTCCGCAGTCGCGGTTTTATAGGAAGCGTTTGAATCAACATTTTCACGTTCCGGGGTTAAAGGTTTCTCAGGTTTCTGGACGCTTGTTTCCTCGCATCGTACGCCCCCCTCCAGGCTGGAAGTTCCTACGGGTTTGGTTTCCAAGCAGGGTAAATCTATTTCGTTGTCTACTAAAACACGGGCGTTAGAATCGCCTCCATAAACCGAAAATGGATCCGAGTTTTTTTTTATCTGGCCGAAAAGCGTTTCCTCTTGCTGTTTTTTGAGCCGCTGGCCCAGCTGATTGATCGGAATCCTGGTGAACGGAGCTATCGAGAACTGCGTGGAAATATTTTCCGCGGACTTTGAATATTTCCTGGTATCCAAATACGGCTCGCTGTAGCTCGGTAGATTCGATGTCGAGCTACTACTCATTTGCTGCACCAAATCGGAAACTCTGAGCAGCGAGGATCGTCCTGAAATCGATTCCTCCAACTCGTCGCACGCATCCATCCGCTTGAATCCACCTTTGGAACACTGGAGAGCCTTGATGTAGTCACACTGTTGGGCCAGCTCGTAACTAGCGTTGTTTGACACTCGTTTTCGTTCACTTTTCAGCGATTTTTCACCATCGTTACCAACCTCCTTACGATATTTGTTCGATCGGAAACTTCTCTCGTCGATTTCGAATTGCTGAGCCAACTCGTAGCTCGCGTTGTTCTTTACCTTCCACGGTCGCTGTCTACCGGAAGGAGTTCTCTGAATACCATCGATACCAGATAACGTGTTGGCGTTATTCGAAGTAACTTCCACGGCCTCGCGCTTCAACTGCTTGATCGCTGCATCCACCGAATCGATGTCGTTCTCCATAGCAATCGCCATATCGAGTATACAGTTGCCCGGATCTTGCGTCTTCACCGTTGAAGGTACTTGTTTCGTCTCTCGTGGCTTTGAACAGTGCTCTCCTACGCATTCCTCGTCCTCCTTCGGCTCTTCTTCCGCTTTCTCGCGGTCCATCTCGCCATCTACCATTGCGTTCTGCGAGGCTTGCGTTCTGACCGAGCTCGATAACGAGTTCTTCGCTTGTTCACTCTTCTCGCCTCCGTTCTGTCGAATTTCCTCGTTGCTTTCCAGTCGCTTCTTACTTTCAACAACGGAGACTTCCGCCATTTCGTGATGCTCGTGGAAATTCACTGGAGAGTAGCGTGTATCATCGTGCGTCGTGTAGACGCCGCAGAGATTCAAATCGACGGGCACGCTGGCTACTCTTGTATAATTCTCGAACAAATTCGACGTGGATACGAAGAAGGTCGCTCTGGACGAGGATGCGTACGCGGCCAACGAATGTGGACCGTGTGCGGACTCGGTGACGCTGCTAGGCAGACTGGGCGCGCTTTGAGATTTATCCGTGAATCTAAAATTAAAGCACTCCTCGTTGCTCCACCCTTGACGCTGGTGCTGCTCGTGCTGCTCGTAACTGTGGAGCTGCTGCTGCAGCTGATGATGGTGGTAATGATGATGATCGGCGACCATGTTGTTACGGCCGTGCGCCATATTGCCGGCTATATTTAATCTAGTCTGCAACAGGCGAAACGAACTCGACACAGCCGTTTGGCCAGATTTCAGGTCCAGCAGTGCGTCCCTTTTCGACTCGACACCGATCTCTCGTAGGTCGATCGTATTCCGATAATCCAGCGACGTCGCGTAGTTGCACGCCGAATCGCCGAACACCATCAGCCGATCCTCCAGCTCCGCCCCGGATCGATTGTCGTTTAGCATACGATCTTCTTCGTCAAGGTCCTCGTCGCCAGCGTCGTCTTCGTATTCTTCGTCCTCGTGCCAAAAATCCCTGAATCGTGTGAAAAAATCCAACTACATCGAGTTTCTTCGACTTAAGTGTTTATGAAAGTTGTTCGATTCTATGGAGAAAAATGAAAAATGAAATACTCAAATTCGTTTTTAACTGACAGAACGGTAACTTACACAAGATTTCGATATCAACGTATCTTTTTTTTCCTAATTTATTTTTTCTAGTGGAGTCGTGGTATGCGTGACACAATGAGATAACCAGGATGAAACATCCACGAGCATCATTTTTGATCTTCCTCGAATTAAAAGTAAAAGTCAAGGAAATCTATTAAGGGTCGTGATTGCGGAAACTTGGTCAATAAATGAGGGTCATGTAGCAAGCTCTCGAAAGTCGTTGCCAAGGAAAACCTACGATCATCTCTCGACAATCGCGAAACGAATCCAAGTCGATGGAGGGCCTCGTAACAAAAAACACCCTTGTCAAATTTGTTGACTTCTTAGATAATAAAGCATTGGAATAGTCAGAAGATAGACTTACAGAATAATGGGATCGGTATTATGAAAATGATCTATATCCTAACTGTATGAAACTTTGAATTTCAGTTAATTTCGTTCCAATAAATGGAGTTCAGGTAAATGAAGCTTCGTTATATTACTCCTTCTAAAGTACAAACTAATCGTTATAACGAAACACGAATATTCTGCTGTTCGGAAAATCTCCTATACATATAAATAGTCATAATTTCCTGTTAATTCAAACAACAGAGGCAGTACCGTGGCATGAAGAAAACTCCGGCCGCTTGCCAAATTAAATAAACTATGTTTACGTTACCTTGGACGGTGGTAGCCATTGCTACGTGTTCTCGACAGGTCCATGTTTCGTTTCAGGTACAAAGGTGTGAATCCATTGGTCAGACCACCAGAACCAAACTCCTCTTCCTTTTGACAAGTGTCCAGACTTTCGAAGCTACGGTAAGGTCTAATTCTGGAAAAGTGATCTACGATGTTTCCAAAACCGTTTGGTAAAACCTTGTCATAGTCCTGCTCGAGGCTGTCTGGCGACGTGTTCTCAGGATGAGAGGCGTTTGATCGATTAGGATACTCCAGCGAATCGAAGCTGTAACTGGACGGTGACAGTGTGGCACAGGTCCTTTCTAAGGATTCGAATTGCAATAGAGAGCTAGACCTTGAGGAGGCGGACGACCTCGATGACCTCGGCGATGGTGGGTAATCGTCGAAGGTAGCCTGTTGTTCTCGATCGCTGTTACCATTGTGTTTTCGACGTCTCTTCTTCGGAACCACGGAATTGCATTCGCTTCCGCTGCCATCCAACCTCTCGTCTTCCGAGAAATCAGCAACAAACACGAAACGGTCAACGACATAACGAGGGAAAAGGTGTAGTGCACGCACGATGCGTGTATAAAATAATCGAATCGCTTCGATATCGAGAAAATAAAAGCGAGACAATGGTCTGATCTGATTCTACTTTTCGACATTCGAGCGACTATTTTTGGAAAGATTCAATTTGCATTCGTGTTTTGCAAAATGTTTCGATGACAGTGAAATAGAATTAACAAAGTTGTTTTTTTTACCAAGAGTAGCTAGTAAAAAATAAAATTTACTATTGTCACTTGTTAAAAAAAGAAGCGACCTTCAGAGACTAGATTTATAAAATCAGAACAAACAGAACTGTACTGTATTTAAAAAATTACTGTATTAAAAAAGTGAATTTGTAAAAATGTTAATTTGTTAAACATACAGAACAGAGAAGTATAGCAAACGCAACCTTGAAGATACACATTTCAAGCTGCTATTTGCGTTTTCGCTCGAGACAATATGCCCTGAGCTCTATCCTACATACAAAAGTCCGTGGCATAATTACGTTTAATTGCGTGTGCTTATTAACGATCGTAAAAACCGCAAAGACATGCGTAATTAAATCTGACATCTTCTGAAGCCACATTATATCTATTTTAAGTACTTTCTTTAATTCGCTACGTCGTTTCGTTCAAATTTCGTTCAAACTAGATAAGGACTTAAATTTTAATCGCACCGATTCAACTAATTTAACTTCAAGTTTGTGTTCATACAACTCAAGTTATCTCACTTAAAGTCGTTTAAACTTAACTAACCGGGCTCCCAATGTTTACACGAAACAGTTAAAAAGCTCACAGTGTAAACGATCTTCATCAAATTTTTTAATTCTTCGCATGATGGTTCGAGCTAAGTAAATTATAGGTTCATATTGATAAAAATGGCTTAAAGTTGCTTGAATTCAAATGACTCGGCTAATCTGAACAAAGCTTAAGTATTGATTTCCCTCTGCCGATAAAACCAAATTTCTCGATTAATCGAGCAATACGCCATCGACGTTGTAGCTAATTGATTTCCAGTGCAAAAGCCATGACGATGGTGATAAAAATGCAAATTCAGGACATTAAGGAGACGATCGCCGGCGATAGTGTCGCAATCGAATGGATCACGTCGTGAAACGTGTCGTTTACCGATTAACGAGCCGTTATCGAAGACTCGTGTCGTCGATCACGTGTCGGTAGACGGTCACGAAGTCGACAACCGGTGACCGTGTAAACGTTGCTTCCGGTTGAACGAACCACGACTTCCTGGCTGCGACACAGGACTGTCCGCCGATGCTGCATGTAAAAGCGACACGAACGCGACGATTGGCCGCCTCCTCTCGTCGAAGACCTACTTCCGTGACTTGACTTTATAAACCAGACCGTAAACCAGAGAATTCTCAGACTACCATCCTTCTCATCGTATTTCTAATCGCCAATAATAACCGACAATAATCACCGATTATGTGGAGGAAAATGATCTATTTTCGTTCGTTAACTATATTTCATCGATTAAAATTTTTGTACCGAAATAACACTAACGGTACTAGTACAGTTAGTTTCGTAAGATTTGACAAGTATGGATGTCAATTCCGATTTTTTCAAATACCTTTCGTAAAAAATCGATTGCTTCGAAAGTATTACTTACAATTACTGACGCTTAAATATCGACCAAAATATCCCTGATACCCGACAAACTTCTCTACACAAGTGAATGCAGAATAGCCTAAGCAACGGAGATTACAGTGATCCTCAAACTCAAGACAGATGCCTGATCGTTTATCTCGTACAGGTCATAAAGAAGAAATCTGTGACATTTGATGTCGTAAATGATCTCTATTTTATAAAAAATTATTGATTACGAAAATATGAAAATGCGAAGTCGAATTATGAACAGCTTATATAAAACTAGTTTAATGGCAAATATGAATAAAATAAATATGTTGGTTGTGATTCCAGCAGCGAATTATTAACAACGAATGTAGACGATATTTAAAAAAATTACAAAATTTACTATTAATATAACGTAGTAAATTCATGCATATGTTGATAAATTCCAATTTAGTTTGGAGTATTGTGTACGAAGATTTCCAGGAATCTAAGAAGATAAACGCTACGAGTCGCTTTTGCACGTGTATTTCGGTATCTGATCGAATCTCATCTCGTCAGCGTCAGTCGGCTTGGAATTCTTTACAGGTCGTACTGTAGCAATTGAATTTACTCTACGACGCATTGTCCTATCGGTTTATTTTTGCATGATTGCATGCACGTGGAATTCAACGACTAGTTCATGGTAATCCTATATGAATCACATTGAAGGTGATCTAATATTAGATGGAGCGGAAGAGAATCATGCGTAGAATTGTAGACATCGACTGATCTTACCATCAAATAGAAAAAGAGCTCTATTTGTAACAATTGTATAATAAATACATTTATCATAATTTTTGTTCAAGCCTGAGACGCTGGCAAAAATGAGAAATGAGAAATTCACCAGTATTTATATTAAAAAACTCTGTGATATATGTATTGAAAATAAAAATTTTCTGTTGTAAAAAACAATAACGAAGTACATATAGAATAAATATGTATATCGGTTGCATCAAAATATTAATGTTTTACTTTAAATCCACATTTACTTACAGCGACACTGCGTAAATACGTATACATATACGACATGTAATTAGTAAGAACGATTAATAGTTTCACAACGAACATTTCTATGAACCTTTCAGCTTCTAATAACACACTTAATGGTGCTGGTATGAGAAGGATAATAGCGGAGACGTTGTAAATGAACGTTGTAAATGGACGTTGTAATGTAGACCATTAATTATTTGAAATGCAATTACCTAATTACACGTAAAGATACACGAATCAAAATCGAACGTTCAGGTTTCTTTCATGCTGAGTGCAATTCATTGTAAAATAATTTGTAACAAGATTCGATCGATGATTCTCCATCGATTGGACATGGATGAAAAATCGTTTCAAATTTAACGGACTGCTGTTGCAAGAAATTACATGACGCCTGAGGAATGCAACCAGGCATACCGATACGTTACAACAGTCGTATAGCCGAAGGAATCCGCTACGAGAATAATCTTAAATCGAGTTCGAAGAACGATAAAACGTGTTTAATAACAGGCAACATCTGAAGGGTAAGGGGTAATATAAGAAATGCCACAAAACAACCATATCGAGGAAATCATTTTTAAGTTGGCAACTACTGCAGGAAACATGTGGCGACGTATTAAAAGATCCTTACGAGAATACTTTATGCCTGTATTAATACATACTAATTTTTATTAATTCAATTGTAGTATTTCTTTGTTCAATATCAAGAGTTTAAAACATACAAATAAGTCTCTTATATCTTGTATCACTTCAATCACACAGTTTATCTTTACATCTTTTTCTAATCTTTCTTTCGCATTTTTGCTTTTAGATAGTCGGATTAATTATCTCACGTTTACTTGTTGTAATTATCGGTAGTCGTTGTTGTATCAATAACGTTATACTATAATTAGGATTATATCATTAGATTCGTACTAAATTGTATTCTATTGCTATATTATAGGTAAATTAGCGTGTAATTTCTAATTAGAGTATTCGCTCTTCGAGAAGCCAAGTCTTTCAACCATAAAAATTAGTAAGGGGCAACAAAAATATTAATTTGCATTAACAACGATATTTTGAAATGCAACATTCCTCACAAAATATTTTAATATAATTTAATTAAAATTAGAAATTGCAAAAATTAAATTCGCGGAAATTGTTAGTCGTATTTACTACCATATATTAGTGAATCAAAAAATTGTTATAAAACAGAGAATACTATCAAAAAAAAAAAAAAGAAATATTTACTTCTTCAAAAATATAACTGAATACTTTATACGACAATATATAAAATATAACTTGTACAAAACAAAAATGTAATACAGTAATCTTGTAACATATTAATTCTCTCTCTTATGTCGAAGCCATGTTTCCAAAGCACCATGTTAGAAGAGATTTGAGTGTATTTACGTCAGCAGCATTATTTACAATTAAAATGATGCAACGTATGCATCGATAGTACTGAAGGTGTAATAATTAGAATATCGAAAATTTAACTAACGTAATAACTTTGATATTGTGGAATGAAATAAGAAATACTTTTTCATCGATACCAATTACTAGTATTATTATTACTACTTAAAATTAATAATTCTCGAAATTTTGTTTCTTCTGTCATCTATCATGTGTACAAATTAAAGAACTAATTTCTGCAAGGAAGAAGAAGGATAAAAATAAATATTATACCTTTCTTATAACAGCAATAAACTGCATATGTAATATTTTCTGTAATCTAAACTGAAATCTATTTATACAATATCTGTTTCACAGGAAATATGAAACAAACGCATTTATGATAAATGTTCGCAATTAAGTATACAAGAAAAAATGGGTCATGAGATATAACTGTCTCTGAATCAGTTACGAACGGTACGGTTTCATTCTCCAAGAATCAATGAATTGTAGGCTTAAACTGAAAAGAGAAAGTGAACTTCCGGAGAACAATGTTTACCAACTCGAGTACCGAGTAATGAGAGAATGAGATTTCACAAAATACGTACTTACATATGCCGTATACTCCGAAACAAAAAACATATTTTCATTTATCTTCAATGGTATATGTTTTAAAACACTCAGCGATACAATGCTATACCTAAAGAAAGGAAAATCAATGAAAAGACATTCCTTCACCTATCGCCACTACGTTCCATTTCTTCGTTAATTTTCCAAATCTATGCTTACAAATCTGTCCTTTTTTAAGCCTTTTCTCTCCAAAGAAGAAAAATATACTATTCCGATAAGCGAACAATACTATGTATTCTGAGACTAATAAATCTTATTCTTAACAAGTTAAAGTTCAATTTCGACGCTGAAGTAAATGATCTGAACAACAATGTCTACCAATATATTCAATTCTACACAACTAAGTAACAATTGTTCGATGAACAATAAGTCAATCAATTGCTATCATTCAATAAATCAAGTCAATAACTTCCGCTGTGCTCTAATTGTATAACATAACGAACAACAACGTGACGTACACGATAATTAGTTATTAAAAATAGCTGCATTCGGATTGCATAAATAATCGAGCCAGTGCAACTTGACAATTAATTGTTGTATGCATTCCTTGTAATATAACAAAATACACAGACTAAAAGCAAAAATTATAAACAGAAGGAAAACAAAATGCTTCTATTTAAAAAATGACGTAAAATGGATCGTTTAATTAGAATTCTACTGTAAAATTTCCTCATTAAGAGGTAACGAGACAAATGATATACAGTCGCCATGTTTGGACTAGTTGCCAAATTGCTATTCGACGACGTAATCCAACAATTCTGGTATTTTTAGACTTATCGTTAGACAATACATGGCAAACACATCAGTCAGAGGAATATATTGTATTTAATACATCGTGTCTTATTTCTTACCAGCCAATCTCTGCTTCGCGCGTATATGTATCACGCTTTCGGTTTCAGAGTCTGAGCCCACCCAATATGTAGTTCCACTTCGATCGGAATCGCTTTGTAGATCGTCGGATGTTTCCTCTAGAATAGTTTCTAGAAAGTCCACTTGCTGCACTAGCACTGTGTCTAGAAATCAAAGCAACGTATGTTTCAATAACAAAAATATGATTTTAATTAGCTTAGTAGAATAAGAGACAAACATGACAATAGAAATGAAAATATCTCCAATAAAGCTACTAAAGGCAAAAAGCAGTGAACTATATACAATGTACAATGTGCACAAATATTCTTTGATAAACTATGAATATTACAAGCGTAACTATGAGAATGTAAAATTCAGTTTTAATGAAGATGCTACTATGGCAATCAGTATATTAATGAGGTACAACAATTGCATTACAGATTTAAGGTCTCAAATGCTGCATAAAAAATGAAAAATTCGCTTTTTTACGTTGAAAATCAAGTATCTTTAGTTGTGATATAATTCATGTATCTTATCATTTTTTTATAACAAACTTGAACATAAATTTATCGATTCATACAAATGCATCCTGTCTGCCTGTCTGTCTGATTCGCTCCCTTTCTCTGCCTCGTAATCTCTGAAATTTAAGCGACATGTATCCAATTTCTCACAGTTTCTAATGCATCTAGGTTAATCACTTTTTAATCAATTCCAACGATCTGTATTTGAATAATACATAGTTACATATCTTTATGAAATATTGTCATACAGTCCACGTATATTTGTCTATGTATATAGAATAGAACGTGTCTTATCGCGGTTTCTATTAAACTTTTCCGCGAAGTCGTTTTCCACTTGTGAGATTTTTTATCGCAACTAACATTGTGAATTCAAATTATTATCAAAGAGCTAAAAATGGTAACCATGAATGTTCTCAAACATTCAACTGGTTAGTTAGAAAATGACATGGACTTCATCAAATCGGAAAAATTCATTCTCGGACAAAAATTTTACGGGTACAGAGTCAAGTGGTAGCCTTTTTCTATAAAATCACATTTGCATATCTGCTGCATTTCGTTCTACGATGTCCAAATTGCATGAAAGATAAGGCAGTGTACTCTTTGTACATGTTCATTAGATTACAGATAAAAAATTCTACCAAATGTCCAAATTGGACAAATTGTGAATGTGAAATTTTAAATAAAAAAAAATGTTCATTAGATTCTACAATATTTTGTAGTTAGTTTTATTTAATAATATTTTTTAGTTATGTCAAATAGATTGTTCTTCTTCACAGATTATTCTTCTTCAGCTACGTTATACCAAATTTCAACATTTTTCATTTTGCACAGATTAAAGGTAAAATGAAATATACTCGAAAATCGAAACAAGCATGATATCCAATTTTAATTTATGTGTAACGTATGTAATTAGTGAGTTATAAATAAATAAATTGTTTATGTATTTACGGGAAATTTAATCCTTAACTTGCTACTGTAGTGTCCTGGGGTATTATTTTATATGCTATAATATTTACATTATATTATATATTATAAGATAATTATATTATAAGAAATAATTTTTTGTTTCGCAGGAACACCATAGCATGATGTATATTGTGTTTGCAATTTATTGATTACGTCGAAACAGATGTATTCGTGTTCGGCAAGAAGCAACGCGAAATTTCGTCCTTGCACTTGTACCATAATATTTTCTATTACATCCCTGGATCGCTTATAACGTTCACGTTATTCAATGCTTTTATCTTTTGGATTCTTACAAATATTCTTAAACTCAGCGAAGCCGCTAATCGCTACCATACAGATTGTAAATAACAAACTAATGAAAGTCCTATTATTTTAGAAAATTAGGCAGATGCTAAAACTTTGTTGTACATGCTTCGGTATAAGTAAAATTTAATTCTAAACACGAATATAAATAAATTTTTAAATTAAAAAACAATATTTGGAATTTACATAGTTCAATTAGTTTTATTCTTCTACGACATATGTATATAGATAAATGAAGTCATATCGTGAAATAACAGAAATTCTTACTATATCATGCAACTCTGTTTGTTTACCACATTTTGTTTTTTAACCATTGTTTAGGACAAAGTCACAATTTCGTATAGGTATTACAGACAAATAAAAGAAAAGGCTACAAGAATTAAAACTTCATTACAAATTTTTAAAAATTCATTGTTATATTCATTATTATATTTTATATGTATATATCATAAATTTATATTACATTAATAACTATATAATAAACATATTATATATGCTATATTTTATACAAATTGTATATATTATATTATTATATGTATATACTATACTAATGTCATATTATACGGTATTTGTATATTACAGGCACGGTTTTTGGCTTTTCAATATTTTATATACTGCAAAGTTAGTGATTGTTCCGTATCAGAATTTGGAATGTACGTAGAAATAACTAACATATTAGTCAACGTTTCCTTATATTATAAACAAAATTACATGACAGAAAACAAATAGAACTGATAATTATGAAATAATGTACGAAACACTCGTGCATTGAAATACGAATAATATTTATGAATATATGCAATGATATGATTAAAATTATTTAGTTATAAACAGTCAATATTATTTAAGCAATTAAAATGATTCATTGAACATTATATAAATACAAAATACGTAAATGCAACATATTTATACATATATTATGTTGAATATTATATGTACCTAATAAATAGTACAAACGCGCTATATTAATTTATATAGATAATATTATGTGCAATGTATATATAGGAGAGAGTCGCGCCGTACCGGCCGGATTGCAGTACTCACTAAAATTAGTTCCGGCTGTTTTTCACCAGACATTAATAATTACTTTTATTTGATTAAATAAATGAATACAACAATCCTATGTAACATAGCTCGGAAACAAAAACCTAAGCCATTGATTTTTCTTTCATATGAAAGTTGGAAATGAATATCGAAAATGAATTCGGCTGGATTATGGAATAAAAGT